TAGCATAAAGACTGCGGGGATTTTCTTTGAGCGGGTGACCACTGGTTCAACGAGTGAAAACTTTCTTGATTTCACTTGTCTTCTGGCAGGTAAGGCTTGGCTTGTTCTGACAGTTCGACCATCGTTGCGGAAGGTGTCCACCGTGTGTTTCATAGGAGGGCGAGAGAAGCACGGTGACTTGCGCGTGAGTTAGTTTGTAGTAGGAGTGGACTTACACAGCATCTACCACGCTCCCTTTTCCCGCCTGAGCCCGGCGTCAAAACAGTCAAGAAGACCGATTACGGGAGAGGGCGCAGGTGATTCTTACGACTAGACCCGCACCTAGGCGTACCACTACATCCTCCGGTCCACAACGAACACTTGTCCACTATTTTAACCAGCAACAGGGACTGGTCAGGAAGAGAAGGACGACGCAAGTCACCGGGCAGCCGAGCACGAGCGCACCCACTAGGGGAGAACCAGGTGTCAGAGAGCTGCCGGCGCACACCATACTGCGGGTACCATGGTTTGCTGAATCATGGCATTTCAGGCGCACACAATCGTCGAATTTGGCTTCCTGCATTTTTTCTTCATTTGGGTCAAATGTGAGTTTACTACCTAAGAGTACTTGCAAAACAGATAAATAAATAAGTCATACTGATCCAACTGTGAAAAACTCGGCGCCTCTGTGGGATTGGAACCCACGCAGTAAGAGGAAGGATTTAGTACAGCCAACGCTCTAACCACTTGAGCTACGAGGCCCCGCCGGACGACGCGAGTTTAATCACATTTGGGTCAATTTACCCGTCCGGCGTCGTCCGGTAAGCCCTCGTAGCCCAAGCGGTTAGAGCGTTAGCTGTAATAAAACCTTCCCCTTACTGCGTGGGTTCGAATTCTACCGAGGCGCCCAGTTTTTCATAGTTGGATCAATATGAATTATTCAGAATCTGCCAAAACGTCTATGCTAAAATTCCACCATTGTGGAAACGGAAGAATCTCAGGCAAACTCGGAAAATGGGGCTTACGTTGCGAATTTTGAGACCGATTTTCTTTGCCACCTCCTACTATCGTATTTACAATTGACTGCTGTTGTAGACCCATCCTCTTTTGAGTGCGACATTTGCCACACGCTGTTACGCACAAAGCAGAGTCTCAAGCGACACGTTGCTGAAGTTCACGAAGGTACGTATTTTTGGGGCTTTGTCATCATCATCATCACCACCACCACCACCACCACCACC